TACTAACTAAAATCTTCAGCTGTGGTTGGCTTCCAAGTGATCAGTTTCACCTTTACCTAAAATCTTTATTGTTATTTTTTGTGTCCACTATACAGTCTTTGTCCTGCTTCCATTGGCAAGCACCAGCCTTGTAAGAGTCCTTTCTACCAAAGGTTTTCTGGTCATTCACAAATGGCTTTCCAGAGCAAGCACCAACATATAAAGTGAATTTGAGGACAGAGGGAAATGATTAATCTGTGATCACTTAGGGGAACTCGGTCATCAAAATGGACCTTTCATCAAGGTTGAGGGTGAACCCGGACCAATCAGCAAAGAATTCGACAATTGCCATCAGGCCCCATGATGCCTCAGAACTCTGGCTAGTCCTTCATCAGCATCACTTGACTTTTGCATGTGGCCCTATATCCCAGATACTGACCAAAAAATTAGTTTTGTGTAATCAGGGTGGGAGGCATGTCTGTTTTAATGGTAGTGCTGTGACTTCCAAGCTGTCTTTCGGTGCCTTTTGGTTTTTTTAGCCTTAGATAGCTGCAGACTTGGTGGCTACCTAGCAGCCTAGGCCAGCAGCACCGCCGTGGTTGCAGCCAAGCCCTCCAGATGTTGATGGATTTTCAGTTTCTAGAGCAGAAGTACATTTTTTAGGTGGCTTTCAGAATACTGGAAAACATTGGTGGTAAAACAGCAGTATGAATGCTGAGAATATAAAATTTAAGACTACTTCTGACTTTTATTCATATGTAATCATAAAATCTCATAATTTTGATTGAGCAAGCCACAGTAACAAAGTATAGAGAAGCATTGCCATGCAGGATTTTCCTCCTATTTAATGTACAAGAAGTAATTTGAGTAATTTTGGTTTTAGCGAAACCATTTATTAATGAACAGAAATATTCTTTACAGTTGGAATTGAACTAGTGTTTAGAAAACATCTTAAAAGGCATTTTGTTCAAGATCTTCCACAATCCCATTTCTCCATAAAATGATACGTAAGTTCTTACTGAATTTATGAGAGATGAATTTTTCTGGAAATAGTAAAAATAATTTTAGGATAAAACATTGAACTTCTAAATAGTTTATTCCACTCTGCTTCTGCAGAGACATTTTCTTTGCATTATTTATCTAGCTATTATACATAATAATGATGAATAATACATACATGGTGTCAGGGTTTATACCTGCATATAATACATTTAGATGCCAAAACCCAAGCCTTGAAAATATGATCCCGCAGTTTTTATTGTACTGCATCCAAATGAGGGAAGACATTTAGGTTTGGATTACATTTTCAACCTATATGTGGCATTCTGTCATTTTATTCCCTAATGTGCTGTTACGTTTTTTCCCTGCTTTACTGTATTCTAAGCATATGAATAAGAAATACCTTACATCAGAGAACTTGAAAAAAACCTTGTCTTTATGTCAGTGCAGATATTCTCTGATCACATAAGTCAACACACATGTGCTGTGTGCCAGGTGCTACAAAAATATTCATATCACAGTACTTGTTTCTCATACCCCTGAATCTGTGAAATTGAATGGGTAAAGTGCCCATTTTAAAAACTATTTTTAATAACAAAGAAAACATAATAGTTAACCTCTGAATGTGGAATATTTATGTGCAGAATATCTTTATGGTGCAACTTGGGAGCTGTTAAAGGTTTGGAAAGAGAATTAAAATTGTTACTGCTTACTCCCTTTATTTGGCACTTCTAAAAACTATTAACTATCAATTTTTAAAGTTTACTAAAAACTTTGTACATTACTAAGAGTATTTTCTAGTGTTAGACTTGTAGATCCTAGAACAGATATACTTACATCCATTTATCGTAATTTTCTTCATATGATAATAATGCTTTACTATATATCATTCTTTTAGGAAAAAGCAAATTGTTAATATTTATGTGGGTCTGGTTTTGTCACTTTTGATAGGAAGATAGTAAAAATTACATATTCTGATGTACAAATTCTTAAATTTGCTATAACTTCTTTAGTGTTCTCTCGACTTTTTCCAAACATTTTTTTTAACAAGTCTACAAACTGAGATGTAATAACTAAATCAGGCCTAATCCATAATAACTATATGACATGTATTTTCATTTTACTCTCATGTAACAAGCATTCTCTCTCATACATCTCATATATTAAATCTGGAACAAAATATCTTATTCTGTAAAGAATTCTGAAACGTGAGGTTCTTAGAAGGGTCCAAGTCTTCGGAAGTGGAGCCTCAGCAGCCAGATGTAGATCACACCCATTTAAAAAACGATCCAGCAAGGTTCCAGGAGGGGCCTGGTTTGTCCACCCTCACCTCTTCAGACTCAGCTTCCACCCATGGCATCATTCTGCCTGTGATTTTTTTTTTTAGAGTTCTACCCAGAAAACATAAGGCATGAGTTTGGGATTATCGACCGAAACCACTGTCAATGGTTGTTGCCTCATGGGGGAAGCAGATTTTGAAAGAAAACAGCCCTTGCCCCCCTGCGCATGTTGAGGCACAGCCGTAGTGGGAGAGAGCCGAGGACTGCTGGGAACACGTGCATGTCACAGATGCCAGTGGCTGCATCCTGCTGGTGCCTCTGCAGACCCAGATTAATTGCCATCAATACATTCCTCGGCTTGTGCAAACATTTTGCAGATACTGCCTGTACGGCTAAATTTTGGCAGTAGTTTACAAAAACACCGTGGCTCTTACCAAAGAAGTAACTCCTCCGTGGCTATTTCTGCATCCTTATTTTAACAGCTGAGTTGAGGCAGACTTGCTCTTGCTCTTGTGGGATGGTAGCAGGTGAGGCCTGCAGGGGTCTTCAAGGCCATTTCATTTCTTAGAAACTTGAAACATGGGGATTAGGATCTTGCTCCAAGTGATTGAGTTTAATTAGTGTCAGGGGTGGAACTAAAGTCCAGGTTTTCTGCTTTCCTTCAAGCTGGTCCGGGACCAGCCATGTGGCCGGGTGGCCTCTGGGGACGTCTCTTACCTCTCTGGTTTTAGTGTCCTCAACTCAGAAATTCTGGGGTTATTTTGTTTTGTTTTTTGTTTTTTACTGTTTGTGCCACAGTTATTTGCTTACCGTCAGTGGTATGTTGTTCGTCTGCTATAACTGATCACATGTGTGGGCTATTGTGCATTGGCCATCTGCTTGTGTGTGCTTTAAAATTTTTAATTAAGGAAATGCCAATCTCTAGACAGTTTTGTTGATCTTGGTGAGTAGTATGTACTAACTAAAATCTTCAGCTGTGGTTGGCTTCCAAGTGATCAGTTTCACCTTTACCTAAAATCTTTATTGTTATTTTTTGTGTCCACTATACAGTCTTTGTCCTGCTTCCATTGGCAAGCACCAGCCTTGTAAGAGTCCTTTCTACCAAAGGTTTTCTGGTCATTCACAAATGGCTTTCCAGAGCAAGCACCAACATATAAAGTGAATTTGAGGACAGAGGGAAATGATTAATCTGTGATCACTTAGGGGAACTCGGTCATCAAAATGGACCTTTCATCAAGGTTGAGGGTGAACCCGGACCAATCAGCAAAGAATTCGACAATTGCCATCAGGCCCCATGATGCCTCAGAACTCTGGCTAGTCCTTCATCAGCATCACTTGACTTTTGCATGTGGCCCTATATCCCAGATACTGACCAAAAAATTAGTTTTGTGTAATCAGGGTGGGAGGCATGTCTGTTTTAATGGTAGTGCTGTGACTTCCAGGCTGTCTTTCGGTGCCTTTTGGTTTTTTTAGCCTTAGATAGCTGCAGACTTGGTGGCTACCTAGCAGCCTAAGCCAGCAGCACAGCCGTGGTTGCAGCCAAGCCCTCCAGATGTTGATGGATTTTCAGTTTCTAGAGCAGAAGTACATTTTTTAGGTGGCTTTCAGAATACTGGAAAACATTGGTGGTAAAACAGCAGTATGAATGCTGAGAATATAAAATTTAAGACTACTTCTGACTTTTATTCATATGTAATCATAAAATCTCATAATTTTGATTGAGCAAGCCACAGTAACAAAGTATAGAGAAGCATTGCCATGCAGGATTTTCCTCCTATTTAATGTACAAGAAGTAATTTGAGTAATTTTGGTTTTAGCGAAACCATTTATTAATGAACAGAAATATTCTTTACAGTTGGAATTGAACTAGTGTTTAGAAAACATCTTAAAAGGCATTTTGTTCAAGATCTTCCACAATCCCATTTCTCCATAAAATGATACATAAGTTCTTACTGAATTTAGGAGAGATGAATTTTTCAGGAAATAGTAAAAATAATTTTAGGATAAAACATTGAACTTCTAAATAGTTTATTCCACTCTGCTTCTGCAGAGACATTTTCTTTGCATTATTTATCTAGCTATTATACATAATAATGATGAATAATACATACATGGCGATCTGTTTAAACACTCAGGTGGAAGAAGTCTTTAAAGACACTAAAGTGTTGCTGCAGACTTAAGATAGTTTTGAAAGTTGTGAAACTTAAGCATTGTATATTGTGCTGAATGACTAAAAACTTAAAAACATTACAAATGCTTGTTTACTGTTTAAAAGTTGTGTTTTGCCAATTTCTTCTTCAGAGATTTAATGTATTGGTTTAAATTTTTAAACCTTATTCCAGGAAAGGAAAACGAGCAGAAGTTAAATAACAACAAGATACAATTAAGAAGAGCTTTGAAGGGTAACCCTACCCTCACGAAGGAAATAAGAGCAGTCTTGGAGCAGAGTTTGGTGGAGAAACTGGAAACCTTGGGGATTAGTGCAGTACGTCCATTCATTTTGGGAATATTTGCTGGGTTTGTTTTATTTTGTTTTCTAAGTGAAAAAGATCAGAGAGGAGAAGTCATGTCAGTCTGTCTACAACTGGGGACCAGAGGCTAATGCTTTATGAAACACTTAGAAGGCTTTCATCCTGTGCCCGGCACCTTTCTAAGAGCTTTACTTAGACATGTACTAATTCATTTAAACATGGAAACAAATCTCTGAGGTAAATGACAGTATTATCTCCATTTTGCAGAGGGGGTTAAGTACCTTGCCGCAGGTCACCCTCGCTCCGGGTGGGTAATGACGGAGACAGCACTTGCATGTGTACAGGCCGTTGCAGTGCTGCCTACCTTTTGATGGTAACTCCAAATAACTGCCTATTCCAAAATCAGCACTTAAGCAATACTTGCTAAGTGAATGGATGAATGAATAATTCATATTGTTGCCAGATTGAATAGTTCTGGTACATCATGCTATATATATAGTCTGCTTTTTACATTTTTATTGATGTACATAAAATACACAAATCTTAATGACCTGAATTTATATACCTATATGCATGTATGTGTCTACATATACAGGTGTGTACATATGTGTGTATAAAAAGCATGTATATATGTGTGTGTGCACATGTGCACAGATGTGTACACTTCTGTATTTGCATGCATACGTGTGTATGTACTGTGTGCACATATATGTATGTGCATTTTTTGAATGTGGATGCATACATATGTGTATATTCACCTCTACATTTGTGCGTATCCAGGTGTACATGCATCTGTATCTGTGTGTACTTGTGTGTATATGTGCATGATCAGTAACCACCACCTGGGTCAAGAGATTGATCATTTCCAATACCCCGGAAGACTCTGTTTACCCTTCTTTAGTCAGTATCACCCTCTGCTTCCCAAGCAGAGGTAAAAGCTATTCTGACTTAGGTTTGCTTGTGCTGGAGCCTCCTCTGAGCGGATCATACATTATGTAGTATTTTGTATGTGATTTCTTTTGCTTATGATTTTGTCTGTAAGAGTCATACCTATTGTGTCATTTAGCAGTAGGTTGTGGTGTAGCATTCTTTTAATAAATATACTACATTTTACCTATTGTCCTATTGATGGACATTTGGATTTCCAGTTTGGGGCTTTTTGTACATGTCTTTTGGTGGACACAGGCATTCTTTTCTCTTGCATATGTATCTAGGAATGAAATTGCTGAGTCTGGGAGTATGTACGTGTTTAGTTTCAATATGTGTAGCCAAATAGCTTTCCAAAGTGTTTGTAACAGTTTTTAGTGTTCCTGTCAGTGTGTGAGTTCCAGTTGCTCCATGTTTTTCACCAGCATTTAGTGTTAATCAGTCTTTTAAATTTCCACATGAACTCTTTTAGGTGGGTTTGAACCACCCGTAAGGCAGTGGAAATCAAACACATTCATGGAATGTCAGTAGTTTCTAGCAAATTGCTTCTTGAAACCCGTTTTCATTTTGGTTCTTTGCATATGGTTTTTGGGTTATATATTTTATTTGGTACATTTCCTTTTATCCTAAGATTAGAAAAACATTCTGGGTTTTTCCTAAGCTTGGATAGGTCTTGTGTTTGTTTGGTGTTTGTATGTGTGTGCGCACGCCTTTTTTTTTTTTTTTTT